AGTCTTACCCTAAACCCTGAACCCTAAGCCCTAAACCCTAAACCCTGAACCCTAAACCCTAAACCCCATACCTTAAAGCCTAAACCCTGAACCCTAAACCCTAAACCCTAAACCTTAGGGGCCTCCTGCACAGTCTTATCCTCGTCCTTGAGCCACTTCTGGCCTCGAACAAGCGAAGAGTCGGGACTCTACAAATGGGTTTAGGGTCCTTTAAAGGGGGATATAGGGGTTATGTAGGGCTATATAGGGGTTATAAGGATATGTAGGGTTTAGGGATTAGGGTTTAGGGTTTCCCGAAATTAGAGGCTACCTTTTGTAGGGTCCCCATAATATGGGTTATAGCATTTTGGAGTCGATATTGGGGTGCCCCCTATTAGGGAAAGTACCATATTTCTCAGAAAACTGATCGCAATATGTCAGCAAGACCTTTAAAGTGGATTATGGCACTTGGGACGGCATGCCATGCAGTGTCATAGGTTCAGGGTTTCACAACGAAGGGCTCTCAAGATTAGGGGTCTCTTTTTTGAGGCCCATGTAACCATAACCTGCACAGTATGTCAGTTCCCCTGTTCCTAAACCCTCTCCTGCGCTGCAAGTTATCTTCCAACAGCGCATCAACCTTGTCCTGCCCTGTGCGTGACATGGCCTCCGTGTTCACTCCTCTTGACGATGATGTACCCCCAAACACTCTAGTCCTAAAACTGCAAAGAAGGCTTTCAGCATTGGAGTTGGGGAAGGTATGAGGGAAGATGACCTAACCCAGTCATGAACACCAACCTCAACAAACTGTAAGCCGCCTCCACCGCAGACAAGCGAGAGTTCATATGGGGGCCGTGAAAAGTATGGTCCCGTTTAATTTTGGGTATGCTAAATACCAGGGGCGGTATCATAATCGGAACCCAAAATAAGTCCAACGTTTTGAACGCTTACCATATGTCACCCTGGAAGCTGACTTGATGAAAAGGCGCCGCAAACCTTGCGACCTTAAGGATCCCTTCAAGCGATTGGAGCTGTAATTAGTCTAAACTCATAGTATCCCCCTTAATAATCCCTACATAATCCCCCATATCATCCCCTGTAAGGATTTTAGACTACGGCTCATTTGGGGTTTAGGGATCTATTTGAGCCTCTATGGAGATGGCGGTGCTTCCAACCGGAAAGCCCCCTTCACATCCCGACGATGTTTTGGCTTCTGCTACGCCGGTACACCTATCCCAGCGCCAATTAGTTGAACATGCTCCCTGAATTTCTCATAATAGCCCTAGTATATACCCTATTATGTTAGGGTAGTTTCCATCTTGGTTTTCATTATCCCAATATAGCCCTAATAATATTCTCCCAATGGGCCAAGATGCCATGCGATGTTCTCAGCACTGAACCCTAAAACCCTATTATTTGGGTCCTTGGACCCTTAGGGTCCTAAACCCAAAACCCTAAGACGCAACACCCGGCGCGCAAGTATGCGCCCCTAGCCGGGCTAGGCGGGGAACAGGCTACACGTCGGTGCATACTGGGTACAGAAGCCCCAGGTTGAGAGTGCACATAGTAAGGGCCCCAACTTTGGGCGCCCTAAGCCCTACCCTACATGTTCCCAAGCCCCAAACCTTCCTACTCCCTGAACGCTGAACCGGGAAGACAAGAGCCAGAACGCGCAAGTTGCAACACAGGGCCGCAGGCTCATGAGAGCGCTCTCCTCAAACTTCTTCCTGGTGGGGCTCATGGTTTAGGGTTATTGCATAGGATCGAGAAATGTCTAAAGCTGCGCCTGAGGAGTAGGATTTCAGAGTTGAGGTTGAGGGATTAGGGTTCAAGGGCTATAAGAGCTAACGTTTAAATAGATGTGGGGGTTTAAGGGACGGGGGATGATTTTATGGAAGAAGCAGAGTGTCAAAGCAAACGCCATTTCACAGTTTGACCAAAAAACTAAGGTGAATTACGCTGTCGTTGTGGGTCTGAGCCTCGACAAGTCCGGGGCCCAGCTCATATTACTCGGTTGCTAACTTGGATCTACAAGGGCCTTCAGATTCTCCTGGAACCGCTAGGCTTCGCGAACCCACATAGTTTAGTGTAAATGCAGGAGAAGCCAAGAGCAAAGCCACATATGATCTGCGGCATGAGCTTTACAAACCCCTGGCGTGTCGGCCAGGAAAAACTCTCACTTCTGAAGATTGATTCGAACAAGTCTAACCCAAACCGCCGATTGGCCCTCAGAGTCAAAATCCCTAAAAACCCCAGGCCCTAATCCAAGCCCTCGATTGCTGAAGCTCTAAATCAACTCTGAACCTACAGCCTAAATCCTGAACCCTCAACAGTGTGTCAAAACCTCAGCACAGCAACTGCGGTGCCTCAAGCGGCCAGTCACAATTTTCTCCTTGATGTTGTCTGGCTTGCCAGCCAGGTCCTGTGTTTTAGGGTTTGGCTTAACGGGATTATACAGGGTTTGCATAGGGGCTATATAGGGGTTGTCTAGGGGTTAGATGAAGGGTTATAGTAGGACTTGCTGTTGGAGATGTAGGATATGGGGCCACATAATGGAGAATCACATCGAAAAGAAAATGGAACAAGAAAAGGGCTATATAAAGGGTATATAGGAGATTGGATGAGATGGGTCAGGGCTTCAGCGGTTTGGGGCTTAGGGTCTTAGGGTTCAGTGACTTTCGTGTTCCGGCCTCAGGATCTACGGAACCCGTATCTCACAGAGCAACATGAATCAAGCAATATGAGTCAGAACATGATACAAACATTACAACTGGGCAGTAACACGACTCCAGCAGTGCCGACGCAGGGTGTGCAATACTCAGCATACTCGTGCAACAAGGCGTGCGTGGCGGCTTGATGTGGTAGTTTCCCAAAGTAGGGGGACGCTAGTATAGACCCATAATACTATAAACCTTATTCTTGGGACCTCCCAGCAGAGTACCTCTGATTTCCCACGTGCCGTTTGAAGAGCTGAAGTCATGAAGACGTTAATTAGGAGATGAGAGAGTAACCTTCCATTCCCTTTGCTTTGTGGAGGCCGGGAACAGAGGGCTTAGCGTTCCTCCTAGACCCTAAACCCTTGAAACCTGTGATTCAGCACTGCGCACAGAACAGCCATATTTCCCAATGCTTGTAAGGGAAAAAGCTCAACGGATAATACCTACAGAGCGGGCGTGGCTGAGTTCATGTAAGGGACTTGGATATTTTGCGCTGTACTTAACCTGTCGGGGGCACCTAGAACTAGAAATATTCTGGACCCCAAACCCTACTAATACTATACCCTGCTTAATCTCCTGCGGGGACCACTGCGCAACAGCAACACAAGATGTCCTCCTTCGCCATCTCCGATTCCTTCTCCTGTGCCGGGGGGAATTGAGAGGGGGCTCTCGCCTAGAAGAGCCAGTCTTATCAGCTTCACCCAATGTTCAAAGGCTCCACCGTCACCGTCCTCGCGTCGATTATGCTATAGTTATAGGATAGAACTGCAGAATACTAGATGTTCATATAAGGAAGAGCTCACTGTTAACAGAGGTGGTCACGAAAGAGGTTCAGCTTCTGGCCTGTTGCTACCAGGCTTGCATTTGACCACTCTTCCTTTCTGGTTGCTCCTGATGTGCGGAATCATGTTTCGAGTGTCATTCTGCTCCTCTCTGTTGGCCAATATGTCTCTCTTCTCAGATAGTTGACCCTTGATGGGGTGGTTGTTGCCATTCATCTTACAAGCCTGGGACGGGCTCCCCTGGACAAACAAAAAGCAGATGGCACGGTCACGTCCCGCAACGTCCCGCGAAATTGAGCGCAATTGCACTGCCGTAGGCCCTTGACCGTGTCTTTTTTTTATCCAAACACGTTGGCTTCGTACCAGATTCAAATAAGAAGTGTCAGTCTCAGAGTATGTCAATATCATGGTGTGGCATGCTTTTATCTACAGTCACCAGGGCCTCTCGTATAGTGTATCCCAATGATTACTAGCGTTGATTGATGAAATCTTGCACCGCCTTATGTTCCCCATAACCCAATCATGACAGTATTTGGGGGAGTCTACATGGCGCAGGAACTCCTCCACGCACAACATCAACCTGTGAAAGCTTTCAGGTCCTAGATAAACGGACTCTGTTCGGGATCCTAAACAGGAACCCCAAGAATATGGGAGGAATGCAATCGGAATATAAGGACCCTGGCAAGTATATTTCTATTGCACTCCTACTATATTCTTGGTGTTCTCTATTTGGCCCGTGTATTAGAATCCTTCTGAGGACCAGGGACTTGCCTTCTCCATCAAGGCAGCAGGCACATCATCAACTGAGATGAAGTTCACCTCGGCATTTGGGCAAATGTGGGGGGAAGAAAGGGGTCCGTCTATACCTTGACGCCACGTAGTCTTGAAAGGGGCTTCGCAACCCAGTTGCTCATACTCACGTTGCTCATACTCAGTGTTCCTCCAAACAAAAATTTGCCCTAAGGGTCCAAGTACCCAATATTCATATACTTAACCCAAATCTGTACTATAATTACTATTACCAATATCCCACGTACCTAAATATTGGGTACATGGACCCTTAGGGTTGCATATCCGAAGTGGACTCTTAACTTTGAGAAAGCCACTGGCTAGCGTCACAGGGAGCGTTGGGCGTGACAAAGGCCTGATAAAGCACATGGTAGTTTCTCAGAGTGAAGGTACCTTTAGGACCCTGGCAGATTTCTAGGGCCAGAGAAACAAATTATCACTTTCCCCTAAATTAACATGGTAACCTGCCCTATAGCCGCGTTTTAGTAGTGCAGTAGTCTGCAGAGCGTCCCTTCTCAAGGAGTTCAAGGAACTTCATGAATCTATCAGGGTTTAGGGCTTAGGGCTTAGTTCAAGAAATTCTGGGTCAATTATTCCATGCTTCAGCCAGCCTTCTGCCCCTTTCTGGTGTATTTGGATCCTTGAATCCACGCCCACGTGCCCGTGAAGAGGGTTGAGGATTTTAGGGTCCTAGCCTCTACGGGAATAAGGCCGGGGCATCGGGATTCGCTGCGATTTGCATGGCAACGTCGGCAGCAAACTCCTGAATATGTGTCGGGTTCAGGGTCCAGCGCTGTCTAGGACGGGGCTTCATCGGCTTTGGATTTTCCCCATTTGGTAGCTGACAATCTTCCCTTGCTCTTGGTTAAGCCTTTTCATGCTGAGTTTCATCGGCAACCCGCGGTGATCCACGAGAAGAGATTGATTCGGGGTTGGGGTTTCGGGCTTGCGGCTTTGTATTGTACGTTCGATGAGCTTGCGGTAGCCTGTGTAGCTGGAAGGCATAGCATGTTAAAAGTGCCGGCTGGATGGTTTAGAGCAGTTCATGTTTGCAGCATGCCCTTCATATCTTGGCTGAGGCAATTTTGGTCATGAAAGGTTTACGGCTGCGGTTGTCGGGCAAATGGCTTGCAACTTAAACCCTAAATCCTAAGCCCTAGACCTGTCTTCAAGCGGTCCAATCCTAAACAGCTAGAATTCTGCAGTTCCGAAGCCACTCTAGTCTAGCAATGCTTGCTGGCGCGTCAGGCAGAATGGCGGAGTGCAACCCAAGAATAACCTCGGGTTTAGGGTTTAAGGTTTAGGCTTAGTACCTGGAATCCCTCCCCTCTTTCCCCTTGCACGAGCAGAATGAATTACACTTGGGCACTTCGGAACTAGACTCACCAAGCCCAGCAAGCCCCGACGTGAACCCAGCTTTCATTTCATAAGATTCCATGTGGTTCCCCATTATTGGTCATTCTGGGGGGGGGGTATAACCCTTAACCCTAAAGCCTAACCATAACATGCAGCTTCTGTTCTTGGACTGGAAGCAAGCCTTCGATTCATTGGATCACACCGCCATGTTAGAGGCCCTCAAACGTTTTGGACTTTCCCAAA